GTGAAGGCCTCAGAAGAAGTTTTTATTTGACCTTCTCCTGCCCTCTTGTCTCTCAGTCTCATTCTTTCCCAAGACGAGCTGAAACAATAATCCCTCTTTCCCATGGCAGGCCATAGAAACCAGAACTCCTTTTCTCTAAAGCCAGCCATAACACTTAAACATATTCTACATAAAAACTGGCCATGAGGAAATTATCTGACCTAGCTTGCTTGACCGCAAGTCGTAAGACTCCCATTCCAGAGTGAGTCCTGCCCCACACCCAGCAGGAAGGAATGATACTCCGAGAGGCCAAGAAGAATCTAGGCAGACAAGTCATGCTGGATCTCCCCACTCAGTCTATCAGCATTAGGTCTTACCCTTTTCGTCCAATCACATTTTTACATGGCAGTCTATACTTTGTTAAGCCTAAGCATAAAAACAGACAATTTCCCCTGCATCTTTGGGTCTTTGTTCTGAAGGCTCCCCTATACATACATTAAATAAATTTGTATGCCTTTTCTCCTACCCATCTGCAACATGTAAAGGACTTTCAGCAAACTTTCAGTGAGCTGAGTTCTTAGCCCCTACACCTTTCTCAGTAAATGGCCTCATCCCTAAGGAAGGTAAGCAATGGAGCACCAGCAGGCAAAACGCCCTTCCTTCTGACTTTACATGGATCATTCATTCTCCTCCCATCCCCTTTACATTCTCCATTCATCAATTTCTCCTTGCTAAATGCTCTGCCTGCCCCTCCACATCCATTTCCCACCTTCTGCATCCAGCACAGTCCTCCCAGGGGACTGACGCATATGGACCACATTGATGGGCTCCAGGACCTCTGGCTCTGGTTGGGTGTGATCAGGGGGAGGCACGTGCAGGAGACTGAAAGGAGAGAATGGATGGCAGGAGCCCTGTCACTCTGACTCTCCACACTGGCCCATCATCCTCTCTCTGCCCCGTTGGTCCAGTGGATGGTAACAGCTCCTCAGGCCTACAGGCATGGCTCCCAGCTTGCTGGACCACCTGCCTGTCAAGACCTTCACCTCACACTACCTTCCCCTGAACGCTTGCTTCCTGCCCTGCTCTCACCTGATTCTCCCATCTCTGAACTCTTCAAGTTCTCATATGTCCCACAGAGCGGACCATCCTTCATCTTCACACAGGATGGTGTTCTTCCCCAAAGACATCAACAAGCACTTTAACAGAGGGGTTCAGGTACTGGCATGGTATCTCTTGTTTGCTCTGAAGCATCTATTGGCCATTGTTTAAAATTTTTTGAGATGGAATCTCACTCTGTCACCCACGCTGGAGTGCAATAGTGCGATCTCGGCCCACTGCAACCTCCACCTCCCAGGTTCAAAACCTTCTTGTGCCTCAGCCTCCCAAGTAGCTGGGACTACAGGCACAGTTGGCTACTTTTTGTATTTTTAGTAGAGACAGGTTTCGCCATGTTGCCCAGTCTGGTGTCCACTTCCTGGCCTCAAGCGATCCGCCTGCCTCGGCCTCCCAAAGTGCTAGGATTACAGGCATGAGCCACTGCATCCAGCCTCATCCATTAACCTTTTATGTCATTAAACTCTTAGGAACATGCGACCAAACTTTAGTGTCCCTAACAGTTTTACAAGGTCAGGGCCACACAGAGCAGAGGAAGCTCTGAAGCTCTCCAGTTGTCTTCAAGGCATTGGCATCACCACTTAGGTCCTACCCTGAGTAAACTATGGAAGAGCCTTGATCACATGGGTCCTGCTTGGAATCTGACAGACCAACCGAAGTAAACGACGACTGGGAGGGATGGGCAGGTATGGTTTCCCTGGCTAGGGTTTTATGGCATAAAACTTTAAGGGGTATTTGTTTAAATAAAATTGCAGCCCTCATAGGACATTCATTAGCAGAGAGCTGCATCTTCCTGAGAAACAACCTTGACCATGAAGTTTTGCTTTGATTGACTCCTCTCATCCCACCCCCCTGAGCCTGCCACAGCTCTCTGCATTACAGAAGTGAGATGGAAATTTACCACATCAGCAAAACACCATTTTCTGTTGAGAGCTGCCTTGGGTGTTGCAGGATTCCTAAATAGAAACTGGCTGAGTGCACAGACATACACTGAAGAAAACACAGATTGTGTGTTTGTGTAAAAGGATAAAGCATATGAAGATGATATGACACATCGAGGTCATTTCCAAGTAACTATCTCTAGATGAGCACTCCTGCAGAACTTGCTGCAACAATGGAAACCTACCATGTACGTTGTCCAGTAGAGTAGTCACTGGTCACACGTAGCTATTGAACCCTTGCAGTGTGACCAGTGCAACCGGGAAAATGAATCTTATATTTTAGTTAGTTTAAATAATTTAAATAGCTCCGTGTAGCTACAGTATTGGACAGTGCAACTCTAGATAGTTCTGTTCAAGTAATGCATCTACCTAATGTGAAATAAAAACTGGCCAGGGGATCCCTTTGAGAAACCTTACTCCTGGAGTAAGATTCAGTAAGAAGAACCTATTCATAAGTGACACCACAAAAAAATCCCATAATCTGATAAATGAAGAATAGTTTGAGTGTGACTCAACAAGCATGTAGTAAGTTGGAGAAACTTCTGTGGAAATTATTTACCATTGTCCTCCAGATTTCAAAACTTAAATTTCAATTACATTTTATATGCAACCCCTTGGACTCTCAAAATTGCCACAAAATATTCTTCTTATAGCAAGCAAATCAAAAATATTTATTGTATTTAATATGTAGCCTTTCTTAATATTGACCAGCTTGATGTCAATATTTACTGAACACTTGCAGTAATAGGAGGTGCTGCAAAAGTTACAAAAGGCATAAATGACACGTCATTTGCCTTATCTTAGGATCTGACTTCTGTGGTGGTTTAAGGAGAATAAATTATTAAGTGAAGAGTATAGCATTCACCCACTAGCTCTGCCTAAAGAGACTCAAGAACCTTCTTGTCTTTCTCTTCTCCTTGTATCCATTCAAGAATGATAGTGAAAAGTCAGAACCATTTTGACAGGGAATAAAGAAATTAGTATAATAAATGAGTCTCATTTTTGACCGGTTGAATTGGCAACTTTTTCCCTTGAAAAGACTCTAAGGAATATGATATAGCAATATTTATGGGTTTTTGAGATTTTGCATTTCAGTTCTACTCCCTAGAATCTAGGCAGCCAATTTTCTCACATTAGGGACATGGTCCTAGAAGAGATGACCTTTTTTTTTCAGGATCCTCTAAGCAGAGATGATATTCAAAATGGATGACAACCAGTAAGCCATGAACACTGCCCAATTAGAACAGACATTGTATGGGCACTGACCAATCAGAATGGATACAGTATGAGCATAAGCCTATCAAAACACATGCCTAGCTCCACATGGTGCCAGGAAATACCCTTTGATATGGTTTGGCTGTGTTTCCACCCAAATCTCATCTTGAATTGTAGCTTCCATTATCCCCACATGTTGTGGGAGGGACACAGTGGGAGGAAATTGAATTATAAGGGTGGGTTTTCCCCGGGCTGTTCTCATGATAGTGAATAAGTCTCATGAGATCTGATGGTTTTATAAAGGCAGTTCCCTCTTGCCTGCCACCATGTAAGATGTACCTTTGCTCCTCCTTTGCCTTCCACCATGATTGTGAGACCTCCTCAGTCATGTGTAACTGTGAGTCCATTAAACCTCTTTTTCTTTATAAAATTATTCAGTCTGGGGTGTGTTTTTGTTAGCAGTATGAGAACAGACTAATACATCCCTTCAGTTAGTTGTTAGTTTATAGGACAGTCCAGGGTAGGGCTGAATGTGATTTAAGATTATAAAAGTATTTTATAAATCATGGTAGTGTAAGACTTCTCTACCATTTGTTGGATTAGCAAGCAGGAGTGAGTGATGAGAAACGCCATGACAAATGTGCATCTATTACTAAGTATCTGTAAGGAATTCACTAAAATCCTGACACATTTTAAAAGTCAAATTCTACTTTAGCAATAGCATGGTTGAGCTTGAGGGCCTCAAAGCAGTTGCTAATTATAACCAGCATAGAAATCTGCACCAACCAGTTCAGAGCACGGTCAAATCACAGTCTTGCCTCTAGGTTAAATATGAAGGGGTAGAATGAGCAGTGAAATTCACTGACTGTATCTACATGGAAAAAGAAAAATATTTGGCAAAGGCAGCAATTTATTCTTCATAACAACATTCATGTTAACTTTCAATGAGGCGAATGTACAGTCAGCAAAGATAATTGTGAAGATGGGAAGGATTTTTGCCGAAGACTCTTGTTTTCCTTCTCAGAAAAGGCTTGATTCCTGAACACTGTGATTCTTTAAACTACCACCTGAATAGTGAAGAGTTAAAGGCAATACACATTTTTTGGTGTTTTTATAAATTAAATACTACGATGGCCATTTCCAGTTTTTTCATGGTGTGCAGAGTAGGTGAGGTCCGTCCTCTGCAAAGCATAAGCTGTATCTCTTTCATTTGAGGAGATGCAAATAGGTTTGATAAGGGGGCAGATAAAAATGAAGGTCTTCATGTAAATATTCAATCATAAGATATTTAGGAACATGCACATCCACATTAGAACTGAATCTTACTTTAACTGAGCTCAGTTTTGAAGTCAATTGTAGATTTTTGGTTGACCCTAATTTTTATACTTGTATTTCATTGATAATATGTAATAATACCCCTACATATTAAATAGACATAAATATCATCTTCATATGCTTTAAGATAATCAAAACTTTTGAAAGTCATGGTAGAATACAGACTTTCGTCTACCATTTGTTGGATTCACAAGTAGGAGTGTTGAGTGTTAAGAAAAATTATGATGAATTTGCAGCTTTTACTTAGTAACTTCATGGAATTCACAAAAACCTTGAAACCTCTTAAAAGTCACGTTCTACTTTGAAATCTGGAAAAATCAATTCCTTCTCTCACTGTCAAGTATCAGTTCTGATGACTCTGACATCTCCTCTTCAGGTAATGTTGGCAAAGCTGCAGGCCAGTCTCAGGATGGAAAGGAAGGATGTCATCGCCGTGTTGTAAATTGTCAGCCAAGTGCTCAGTGGAGCTTGGGGAAGTCTTTGCTATACTACAATTGTATTCCTGACCTCAGGACTGGCCAGATTAAAAGAAGCCTGTGGATGACTTGCTGGTCTGGGTGGACATTGATCAGTCTCCTGGCAACAGAGGAGGAAAAAAAGTCAGTTTAGTGGGTTGAGATCACTGTAAAATGCATACTTGAAAAGGAAGCTTCACTCATCTGTTAAGATAAAATTAAGGTACAGAGAGGAACAAAAATGTTAAAATAAGCTCTTCCTTTCTTGCATTATTTCCGATAACACACAATATAGAAGTTTTCCAAGTTCAGGTCCTAAAGAGCAATCCAATTCCAAGAATCGGGATTTGTGAAGTTCTTGCTTTACTGACTAGATTTTTTTATGAAAATATAAAATATTTCTAAGCTTCTTAAAGAGCATGCATTGTTTTTAGAGGAGGGGGACAAAACTGAAGAACTGACTCCAGATAGATCACCCATCTGTCTCCTTTCCCTATCAGGGAGAAACATAGTCTTCCCTGTTCTCATTCAGAAATGTAATCCCAAACCAACCATTTAATCCTCCAGAGTCGCCAATGCCTGTCTCATAACATTGCCCTATTAAAATTTGTGCAAAACCTTTTTCCTGCCAGTCCTGAGAATGGCAGCTCAGGTTCCAGGGCACAGAAGCTGCATTTAACATATTAAATAATGTAACTGGGCATGATAAATTATTCACATTGCAATGGAATGCTAACAAGTCTTGAGGTTAGAATTACTCTGGTTAATGCTTTTAATTTGTTGACTCCCGATAACAGAGAAAACTGGACAGCAGACGAAACTATGTCAGCAATGCTTTAAGATGTGCGCCTTCTGTTGCAAATATGCTAGAGATTCCTGCGTTGTTTGCTTTTGTTTTCACTGCTGGGTTGTGCAAACATCGCTGTTTTCTAAGTTTATCAAGTATGTATTTCTGTTTGTTTCAATGAGGGGGTGATTTGTGGGGAAGACTTGATCCAGGTCTCAAGTTGTTCATATGCCCACCTTCCGAAAATGACAGAAACAGAGAATTTCCTAAAACAACCAGAAAAATACACTGACAGTGAGTTAAGGCACAGGACAAAGAGAGGAAAAGGAGGATTCTTTGTTTTAAATATTCACTAAAATACAAAACATTTGCAAATCCCCTGGCTTCATATAAAAATGAAAAAGCATGCCTTTCCCAGTAACTGATCACAAATTTTAGTAAGAATTTCTATTTTTACTTATTACTTTTACCCTGATGTCTTTGAGCTACAGTTACACCCAAATTCATTCTATTTAACCAATAGGGAAACTCTTGTCTAGAAAACCATGTCAGTACTACATATTCTAACTGTAGATTCAGTCATCAGAGAAATAATCAGAGAAGAAAAGTGTCATATTGTATATGCCAGTTTTGAAAATCGATCTTCTTTTCCTTCTGACCCTTCTTACAATTTAATCCATGATTGAGTCTCTACAGTCTAGGATTCTACTTTTTCATTTATGTTTAATGTAATGTGCTTTAGGACCCATCTAAAATATGGAAGGTTTAAATAAGTGTCCCTGGTAGGGTGCCACATGCACAGTGGAGTATTTGGTGTCAAGGCCTTTCATTTGGCATTGATCATGGCACCACCATAAGCATCTCAAACTCTTCTCTGTGCTTTGCAGCAAGGTCAGTGGAGCAGGCACACGAGGTGCAAGTCATTCTCAATGCACAGTTGCAGGAAGACTTCTAGATATCAGGGAACACATTCCCTTAGAAACAATGCTATACATGTCTGTGGAGTTTTCACCCTGGGACAAAAAGCAGATCACCTCAAAGCAGATCACCTGGAGAATCTGATAAAAATACTCATTCTTTGGCCCTATCTCCCAGACAGTCTGATCCAGAAAGTCTGGCGGAGGCCCAAGAGTGTGCATTTTAACAAGTACCCAGTGTGTTCCTGGCACAGAGCTGTACTGGGAGCTGCTGCTACGCCAGCAGGGTACCAAGGCAGAGGTATTTATAGGCACCGGGTGCACCTCCATGATCAGCAAGCATTCTTTGGGAAAACTGGAATAGAGAATTCAGGAAATACATCCACCGTTTCTGCCAGGTGGTGGCAAGAACAAGAACTGCCCCATTTCTTGAGCAGGAAGTCTCATGTTCAGGGAAGAAATTGGCAGGAGAGGGTGCTTAGAGATGGAGATGAGCAAAAGAGGGAGCTCCAGGCAGCCTGGGGGCCAAGAATTCTAGGAACTGGTGCCTCTTCCCATTGTCTACAACCCAGCGTCCTCCTGAGGACGCGGCCTATGTCAGCCATTGTGCCTGTAGTTCCTGGCCACAGTGCCTGGTCTTTGGTGGGTCAAAACTCCAACCCCAGCCTGTCTCCCATGACACTGCTCCTGAGACATGCCCCCACTTTTCTGAAGTTTTCTAAGGATTCCAGGCACTGAAAGCATCAGGGGATAACTAAGGGTTTGAAAACAAGGTTTCACCACTGCATCTTGTCTTGCTCGTCTCCATGGCAGTGTGTGCTCTTGGCATGCTGGCCCTTAACTGAAAGGATGCCAAAGGGGCAGGAGTTATGGGAGGCTGGGGCAGCAGCAAATTCTGTCCTTTCCTAAAATATTCAAGTTCTAGTTTCCTGTTTTAGTAACTGTTGGATGTTATTAAAATTGAGCTGGGTGATTCATGACAAAGATGCCGTATGCAGAGACCCACAGCAGCCTTGAAATGTAGACACAGATGTGTACAACTCAGGGAAGAGAGCTGGAGGGTTGTGACATTGAAGGTGGCGGTACAAGTAACCTGGAAACCTGCTGCTCCTCCTAACGCCATACACCACCCTGAGCTGGGTGCCTTCCCAGACTCTGGACTCAGTGTCCAGACACTTCTCTACTTGCGGAAATACAGCTAACTCCCGGCAGAGAGAGCAAGAGCACGGGCACCACCAACCCCAGTAGCACCCACTCCAGGTGGGTAAGCACGGGCCATTATGAAGGCCTCAGGATGCTGAGCAAAGCGAAATCGCTGAGTACCCGTCGGGCAGGGTGAAGTTATGGAGGAGGCAGACTGATGCTTGGGGACCTGCCACTCTTCCCTTTCCAAAACTCCTGATTCACCTCTTGCTGTAAGGTAACCAATAACCCTTAAGTCTAGCCACACTGAGTTGACCTAAAAAGCAGAGCTGCTTAAACACCTCCTCAGCCCTCTGAGTCCTGATGTCTAGAGGTGAAGACCATGAATCTGGACTTCCCAAGGGCCTCATCAACGACCTGTGGGCCAACCCTGGCACATCAAATTTCCCCATCCTGGGGGCGTATTGAAGCAATGGACCCCTGGAGAAAACCAAAGTGCTCCCAATCACAAAGGAGTGGGAAGGCAGTTTGATATGAAATGATTTAACTTTTCTAAATGACCCAAAACATGATGCTATTTTTAGGTTGTATATTCATCTATAGTGATCTAATCATAGTTTTGTCATAACCGATTGGGATTAACAGCAAAGGAATTAGGGGTCAGGTGCAGTGGCTTATGCTTGTAATCCCAATGCTTTGGGAGGCCCATGTGGGAGGATCGCTTCAGGCCAAGAGTTTAAGAACAGCCTGGGCAAATAGTGAGACCCCCCATTCCTACCAAAAAAAAAAAAAAGTTTAAAATTAGCTAGACATGGTAGCAAGTGCCTGTAGTTCTAGCTCTTCAGGAGGCTGAGGCAGGAGGATCCCTTGAGCCCAGGAGTACAAGGTTACAATGAGCTATGATCGTGCCACTGCAATCCAGCCTGGGCAAGAAAGCAAGACCATGTCTCAAAAAAACTTTTTAAAAGGCCGGGCACGCTGTCTCACGCCTCTAATCCCAGCACTTTGGGAGGCTGAGGTGGGCAGGTCACCTGAGGTCAGGAGTTCGAACCCAGCCTAGACAACATGGTGAACCCCGTCTGTACTAAAAATACAATTAGCTGGGCAAGGTGGCAGGCACCTGTAATCCCAGCTACTCGGGAGGCTGGGGCAGGAGAATCGCTTAAACCGGGGAGGCAGAGGTTGCGGTGAGCCGAGATCACGCCACTGCTCTGTAGCTTGGGTGACGGAGCAAAACTCCATCTCAAAAAAAAAAAAAAAAAAGCAAAGGAACTTTGTCTATCTGCACATGCATGCACCTTATAGTACCTTGCTTGTGACAGCGTAATGCTCGGCATGGAAGGTATTCTCCACTTTAATGAGTAACTGTTTATTGAGCACCTAGAAATGCTGGACTAGCCTGTGTGTAGTCAACAGTCATCCATTAGTTAAGTCCTCCAGAAACTGCTGAGTGTTAACAGATCCCCAGTTTCAGCAGAGGAGAATGCAGCGTAAGCAGAGAGCAAGTGTATGTGATCAGCAGTTGCCATCCTGTTCACAAAACCGACTATCCTGCTCTGCGATCTATTAAGACAAAGCAGGAGCTTTAGTTGCTATTGTACCTGCCGCGTCTCCATGGATAGGCCATTTATCTGACCCAACTAGCTCTTCAGCAACCGTGATCGGAAAAGCATTTGCGTCAGGCTGGCTCACAGCTTGAGATCTTTCAGTCTAATCTACAGGCTTTTCAGGACCTGAGCTTCATGCGGGGTGTCTGCAAAATAGTGCAATCTGTAGTCAACAACCCTGAACTCTAACAAGCCGGCTTCTCGGGCAGGAGCCCTGCTGGGCCCCAGCTCTGGGCCTGGGAGGCCTGTGTGCAGGAAACATGCGGCAGCAGCGCGGGAGGCTCTGACAAATTGGAGTCATACTGAGGCATGCGGAGAGGAGGATGAAAGGAACACTGAGATGGCGCTCTGGATAGCTCTCAGCTGCCTCTCCTGGGCCCTATAAGGAACTAAGGCTTATTGCAGAATGGAGAAAGTTTTGAGAAAAGAAGGCACAGTTGCACTGTTTTCACACCTTGGAACAAGGAATTCAGAATTCGGAGGTTCTCATCAGCCCACACAGCAAGAACCTGGCGACAGAGGCCTGGCAGGGCTGCAGGGCCGGGAGAAGTTCTTAAAAGGAACCTCTGTGCCAACGTCACCTTGACTGCTTCTACAAGCTGTGGCTTCGCTGTTCTGGCAGCTCTCAAGTGGCCAGTTGACCACAACAAGGTCTATGTCTTCTCTGGACCAAGGAAATGGAAGGGAACGGCTGTGTCCCCAGGCCCAGCCTTTCCCCTGTGGCCCATTTTGTTCATTCCTCCTCTAAGTGCCTCCCAGGAAACACGGCCCATGGTACATCCTGTATCCAGGCTCTCCAAATGGGCAACGTGGAGGCTGTGCCTGGGCCCATGACTGCAAAGTCCTTCTTTGGTCATAATCAAAGATAGACCTCTTCTTTAGGACTTTGTCCTAAAGTCCCCCCACAATGAGTAGAAAGATCCAGTTATTTAATAACCCTCACCAGTTTCTAGCCCAGCCAAAGACAATTCAACTTCCTAGAGTCCTGATTTGTTTCTTAAGGGCCTCGGCACTCTCTGATGAGGTGCCCGGCTCCCCTAGAAGACGACAAACCCTTCAGGAAATAAGAAACACGAGGATATGTTACCAGTCCCCAGGGCTCAGCACCTCGAGGGTCACTGTTCTTTTTCCACCGATTGATTATTTAGCTGGGTACATGTTTCAGTAGCAGAAACCTCTTAAGTTTCTCTCCCTGTGTATATTCAAAAGAACACTACAAGCATCAAGAAGCATCACGCCGAGCTCCAAAACGTCATTCTCCACTCGGGTATCCAAATGCACCTCACGTTCCCCTTCCTCCTCATTCATACTAGATGTATCTCAAAGAGAATTACATGGCATGACCCTATTCTGAATCTCCTCTCAGCTTATACCCTCCCCACAGCACCAGACCTGAACACTTTGGCTCGTCTGATAGAAACACACTTCATAGACAAAGATAACCACAGAAGGGCTATGGAAATCATGGTTGGCTTAAATGTGCTCTTGGCTGTCCGTGCTTGGAGCTGGGGTGGGAAAGAGCCCTCAGCCAGCCACCTCACAGCCCGACAATTACTCCCTTCCACCGCTCACTCAGAGACTGGTCCTTCTAAAGGAAACCTGTTTGCATCACCTTCCCTTCCAGCTCCAAATTAAATGCATCAAAAGATATATGCAAATTAAATGCATCAAAAGATTTCCATCAGGGCCAAAGAGAGTGGTCCTGATGGAAAAAAGCATTACCTCTCCATTTTCCTGACACCCAGCCTGAGGAAAGTCGCTGGAACTTGTACGAGGAGCTAACGATTTGTTACTCAGGCACAGCTTCCTTTACACCCCAGGCCCCTCATATGTCTTGTTGTCTGGCTACCTGTGTTGACACTAATATTAATAGTATCATCTTAGGTTTCCCAGTACATGACTGAGCATCAATCAGCCCTCCCTTTCTCCCTCCAGGCCTGAAAAACACACATCACTTGCAAGATGTAGGTTATTGAGCTGAATCCCAATTGCAGGGAGGAATATTATTTCCTAGAACTCCCTGGAAACTCAGGTAAATACTTGTGCCAAGAAAGAATGATCAGGGGCCACACAGGCACCTGCTGAGCACCATCCCCTCAGGTAAAGCAGCTCCTAACAGAACAAACCCAACCCATCTGGCCCAGTGTGCTATCTGAAACCCAGTCTGCAAGTTTATTTACCTTTTCCAAAAGCTAAAAGAAGATAGCATCTATACTTATTGGGGACAAAATCACAGAATCTCATTGAAATACTTCTTGTTCGAAGTTGCATTTGTACAGGTCAGAAAGGGGTGTTGGTTATATATATTCTACCTAATTTATGATTCGGGATGTAAAATGAACTCTAGGCCAGGCGCGGTGGCTCACGCCTGTAATCCCAGCACTTTGAGAGACCAAGGCAGGCGGATCACGAGGTCAGGAGATCGAGACCATCCTGGCTAACATGGTGAAACCCCATCTCTATGAAAAATACAAAAACCTAGCCCGGCGTGGTGGTGGGTGCCTGTAGTCCCAGCTACTCGGCAGGCTGAGGCAGGAGACTGGTGTGAACCTGGAAGGCGGAGCTTGCAGTGAGCCAAGATTGTGCCACTGCACTCCAGCCTGGGCGACACAGCGAGACTCCCCTCAAAAAAAAAAAAAAAAAAGAACTCTAATTCGTTCATGTGTGATAACCAGTGCTGACTCTACATCAGCAAATTAACATACTATGTTCTCAGTGCTGCCAGTTGACTGTTTACTTTAAGTGAACCATCCTTTGAAAAGACAGCTGCCATCGAAACATTGCCAACCAACCAACCAGTATGTATAGCTAGTGCCTCTCCCTGGAACTGCAGACTGGTGAATTTAACTACACTTCCAGTGTCTCCATGTGGACATCAAAGAGACCTTAGAATCTACAAGCTCCAAATTAGATGTCTGATCTTTCCCCCTAAACTGCTCCACCCTTAACATTCCTTATCTAGGTTAATGGCAACTCCAGCCTCTCAGCCATTGTGGCCATATTCCTTAACTATCAAGGATTCCTCCTCTCTCCCCTAAAATTCTAACCCCGACAGGATTTTTTCAACCCTCAAGCTTATCAGCATAGAACTTGCATGCAGAGCAAGCCACATTTTCTCTGTCCTGATCCTCAAACCCAGTACATCCTTCCATGAGCCCAAAGACCCCGAGGGTCCAAGTACAGATGAGCACCACGTGGCAGCCAGGTAACCAGGAGAGCAGAACGGACTTGAGTCCTGGGAGAACAGGGCTCGAGGAGAACAAATGGCACATTATATATGCTGCTCACTCTTATGCCAACTCAGGTGGATATGTCCCAAAGCAAGTCACATCCTCCCAAAATGTGAACCCAGAGCTGTCACCCAGAACCAGCCCTGACCTTGGAGCCACTGCTACTGAGGGCAAGAAACAGTCCATGTCTCAGCCCCATCTCTCCACGCTGACCAACTGATGCGGAGGGGAGGAAAGGCAACGTGCCGCCATCATGAATGCACAACGTCATTTTAGAATCACCCACCACAAGGTAAGAATTTTTAAATGGCCAAAAAAGTCCAAAAAGGGGGGAAATGGTCTAAACCACCTGTCAAGGAGGGCCACAGCTACTGCTTCTTTGTTCAGGATCACTGGATTCACAGGATTTTGGAGGGGGAGAAGCGGTTTCTGCAATAAAAGAACAATTTTAGAGTCATTAAGGGGCAAAAACCAAGCTGTGTGCTCTAACAATTCTGATTTATAAAGAAACACATTTGCTTTTATGTAGTACCCCTGGCATAATCCTTAACCATAAACACTTGTTTTAAATTCCCTTGAGATCCCATCCCTTTAGAACGTTATTTCCTTAAAGAAATAAAAATATGGAAAACTAACTCAAAATCAATTTCTTTCTCGACACATGAGTTTCACCCAGAGACAAAATGATCTAAAGCTTCAATAGCTGATCAACGAAGATAAATGCCAGACAAATGGAGATAGAAGAGACAGAGATGTTTGATTTGGGCCATGATTTTTGTCAAGATAATTAATTGCTCAAAATACTAATGAGTAAATATTCACTCACAGGGACCTGCAAGAAGCTGTGGTCAGATTATCAAAGGAAACAGTCCATGCTCTCTGGAATTTTCTTTAATCTGAAAGATGCAATCTAGAATACACATGGGAGGCAGCCATGGTAAAATCAAAAAAATGGGGTTGCTGAAAATAGAGCTCCAATTTTTGTGGAAAACGAAGGTGTTTAGGCCCTTCAGTGAGAATCGATTGGCTGAAAACCTTCCCATGGAATTTGGTGTTCCCAGCAGCCTGTGAGGGCAGCTGTCCCATTCATCCTGCAGAGCAGGGGTGCGTTCGGCCTTCAAAACTCGACTGCTGCTGCTTCCCGGTGACATTGTCTTAGAGATGGCCTCATCCCATTATCACTCTGTATTGTCCCATGGCAAGAAAATGAGATACTACAGCAAGACTCTCCAAGAGAGGGTCTGGTTTTCCAGCATTCCCAACACCCTGTTACATTCAAGGGGAACAGATCTCTTACTTGATTCTACTTGAAATTGGGAGGCAGTTACCCCCGATGTATTAAAATACCTCCCCACATGTTTTAATGTAGAGGGCTTTAAACAAAAAAGAAAGCATGGGGAAAAAACAATTTTTTTTAAAGGTTTCAGGGTTCTTCCTCACTTTATTTTAAGCATTAGACAAATAGGTGGATTTTTACTGTTAACCTACTCCTAGAATATTCCAAGTTCTAGAATTTCTTCTAAAATTTATCCAAAAAATAATAACCACCATTGTCAAGTTGTCCTCCCTGTGCAGCTGGTATCTAGCAAGCCAGCCCTTCTTCCAGCTTTCTCTTTTCCAGGTCTTTCTACCACCCCCTCTTGCCTACTCACCTGTGGTCTTTGGTGCATCTGAATTGTAGCCAGAGTTTTCATTTCCACTTTCTGTCTTAGTTTCTTTGTTTGTCTTCTCTTTTTCAGATTTCCTACAATTAGACCATTTTATGTTCATGTTAATTGTTTTTTTTTTTTGTTTGTTTGTTTGTTTGTTTGAGAGAGAGTCTCGCTCTGTCGCCCAGGCTGGAGTGCAGTGGCCGGATCTCAGCTCACTGCAAGCTCCGCCTCCCGGGTTCACGCCATTCTCCTGCCTCAGCCTCCCTTGTAGCTGGGACTACAGGCGCCCGCCACCTCGCCCAGCTAGTTTTTTGTATTTTTTTAGTAGAGACGGGGTTTCACCGTGTTAGCCAGGATGGTCTCAATCTCCTGACCTCGTGATCCGCCCATCTTGGCCTCCCAAAGTGCTGGGATTACAGGCTTGAGCCACCTCGCCCGGCCCTTCATGTTAATTGTTGACATTAACATTGCCAAACGTTAACTGGCAATGGATACCTACGTAGTTCACATAGTTACTCTCAAGAGTATGCTTACATGTGGAACTTAACACAGGCAACCTATAGCTCTGTCACTGTGTGGCAGGTGTAGACATCTGCCTATTCACACATTCCCATTATGGGGAGAGATGAAAGTTTATCATGGTCCACGGACTCCACTCCCCAGTTGCTCCTCAACTCTCAGAAACCATTCACCAAATAAAGCAAGAGTCAGGAAACTATGTGACCCACAGACCATATCTGACCCACCCCTTGTTTTTGTAAGTAAAGTTTCGTTGGAACACGGTTACACCTATCAGCTCACATATTGTCTACGACTACCTAAACATGTAGCCATAGTCATGTTATAATAGCAGAGTTGAGTCCTTATGACAGAGACCATATGGCTGGCAAAACTAAAAATATTTACTATGTAGCCCTTTTGGAAAAAGATGTGCCAACTGCTGAAATAAAGCAAAAGTCGGTGCAGCCTCCTAGGGTTTGGAGGCTGGAAGGAAGTCTGGCGATGGATAGCCAAAGAATTTAAAATAGTCATACTTGACCTCTAAGGACGTATGCTAGGGAAACAATCAAGGATATGGACAAATATGTACTTGAAAGAATGTTGATTTGTGAGCTATTTATAAAAGCAAACCACAGACAACCAAGTGCCCAATCAGAGGGGACTTTTAAATGAATGATGATAGTTCTCTAAAATGGAATTCCATGGCACCTGTCAAAATTATTACATATGAGAGCTCTCACACTGCTAGCGGGAGTGTAAGCCTGTACCCCTTCTTTGGAAACATGTGGCACCGTCTAAAGCTGAAGATATGCTACCTTCTGGCCCAGCTTTTAGGACTAGATACGGTCTCCCTTGGTATTTGTTAGGGATTGATTCCAGGACCCCTGCAGATACCAAAATTTGCAAATGCTCAAGCCTCTGATATAAAATGGTGTAGGATTTGCATATGCATATAACCTACACACATCCTCCCATACACTTTGAGTCATCTCCTGATTCTTTATAATACCTAATACAATGTAAATGCTATGCAAATAGTTGTTATACTGTACTGCTTCTTTATTTTGTATTATTTTTTACTGTTACTATTTTTTTTCAAACATTTTTGATCCACAGTTAGTTGAATCAGAGGATGTGGAACCTGCAGATATAGAGGGTCAGCTGTATTCTGTTTGGTCAGAACCAAACAGAAATGAGTACTTATGTTCACCAAAAGACTCCTACCGTAATACTCAGAATAGTTGTTGTTTTTGTTGTTCTTATTGTTTCTCGGTGACAAGGTCTCACTCTGTCACCCAGGTTGGAGTGCAGTGGCGTGATCTCGGCTCACTGTAACCTCTGCCTCCTGGGCTCCAAGGATCCTCCCAAGTCAGCCTCCTGAGTATCTGGGACTACAGGAAAGCACCAACACACCCAGCTAATTTTGTACTTTTTGTGGAGATGGGGTTTTTCTGTGTTGTCCAGGCTGGTCTCCAACTCCTGGGCTCAAGGGCTCCACCCCCTTGACCTCCCAAAGCACTGGGACTACAGGAGTGAGCCACCGTGCCTGGCCGGAGCATTAGTGTTTGCAATGGTCCCAACCTGAAAACTATTCAAACACCCATTTAAAGCAAAAAGTAAAAATACATTGCGTATGTGCCCAGAATGTAGTATTACATAATAATGAACCACTGACACCCACGTGCCATGGTATGGATCAGCCTCACAGTGAGAGGCTCGAGAAGGCAGACATAAATGAGTATACACAAAATGACACCATTGATACATGCGCCTCATCTCTGGGGATGTGGGAAAGATGTCAGAAGAATGTCACCTTTGGGGAGGAGGGGTAGGCAGCAATTTGACAGGGGTCTAGGGGACTCTGGGGATGCTGAGGGTGTTCTAGCTGTGACTTTCAGCCATCAAGCCCAGGCGTTTGTGCTTTTTGCGGAACCTGATCAAGCTACACACCTGCAACTTGTGCACTTTTCTGTACTATCTGTATCTATCCAAAACTATCTTATACTTCTTCTGTACTTATAAGTATCTATCTAAAACTATCAAACAAATAATACAAAAATGCTGTGTGCAAGTATTTGTTAATAGAAATAATCTTCAGAACGTGCCAAGTGAAAAGAGCAAGCTATGGAATAATGGTTACTATGATCCAAATTTCACAAAATGCTTTGTGTGCATATCTGTGGGTATATACATGAACTATGTATGTAGGTACACACATAGTTAACAATAATTTCTTTGGAACTATAGAAGTGTGGGTGATTTTTTTTAAACTATTTCTTGTGCCTATCTTTATATTTATTTAAACATGCATTGATTTTTTTCTATAATAAACATACAACTACATATATATATATTATTTTAATTATTTTAATGCAAAAGAAATCCTTGAGCAGCTGGAGCGAGCACCATGGACATCGTGAAAGGGGGAAGCAAGTGGGATTGGATTATGCAGTGGACAACCCCCATTGTCTTTCTGGAGCTTAATGCAGTCTCGCCTAACTTTAAGGGCTGCATAGAGAAGGGCCCAAGCCCTGAGTCAGGTCCGCCCAGTTCACATTCAAACAACTCTACAAAGCATGCAGCAGTGAGTACCTGGCATGTACATCAGGCACTCAAGATACACTAGCTTTTCTCATGCGCCCAGTGTCATTATTCTACAGTTGTTGTTATCCTCTACCCATTTTCCCGACTAGCTATTGATCACTTTGCTGTGCTTTCAAATCACCTAAGACCCCAGAGAACAGAAATGGAAGATGCTGGCACAGTCAACAACGGTGAACCAAGAGTCCAAGCTTCCGTTCTGCCAGTAGTAGCAATCAAGAGAAATGCCAGAATCATTATCAGGGTCCATTTTTCTTCCTCTTCCCTTGCCCTAAGTCAGGCCTCAAAGGAATATTTTTGGATTGCTGCTTGGTGGTGTCCTCTCTCCGAACTTCGTGATCGCCAGGGATCAGAGGGAGAAGGGATAGCCTTTGCCACATGGTGATGGTGCACATTCATTCACAGAATGTAGCCAAAGGGTGTTTTAGAATCTCAGCACTTAAAAATGTAAATATTCTAATAAAATACTGATAACTACATGTGTTCTTATATTACCCACAAGAAACAACAGCTGTCTAAAAAACCCTCCCCTTGGTGCACATATGGCTATGTTAATACTGCAGACATTTAAAAGGGTTACTGGCTACTTATTATAAGTCCTTGACACAGTTACCTTAAAAGTGCTTGCAGCTACTTCTGGGCAGCCTGGGAAGGAAAGGAATTTTTCAGTCCTGTCCACTCCCCGTGGCTGAATGAGCACCGAACACTGCCTAATTTCTCTGCCTGGACAGTTTCACGTGCCTTGCAGGCATCCGCTTGGCTCACTGCTCTCCACTACCCCAGAAATTCCAGCAGGACCTCTGCTGGTGGCCCTGGCCTCCACCCAAAGCAGGCAGGATGACAGTCATGGTGCACAGTGTCCTCTTGTGGAAAGAGTTGCAAATGCCAGACACTAAGAAAATCTCCATTTCCCTAAGTGAACCAGAGCAAGTCAAAGGTAGGCAGTGGCAACCCACCTATTTCATTCCACAGTTAATGTTGCCCTATGAGTTTGTGATTGGCATACGTGTTTTTCAGCATTGTCTACTTTCAGTACTTAATTTTGGATAATATAAATCTGAAACTCCCTCAGTTGTGTGTATGTATTGTTGTTATTATTGTTGTTGTTGAATTTTTTTTTTTCAGAAAATAGATGTGGTTTCAAACTTACCTTTGAAATTGAATACGAAATCCTGCAGAAAAGAACAAAATTACATTAGAAAAATCAGGATACTTATTCTAAAAATCGAGTCCCATTAATTTTTATAGACTCCCTTATTTTAACAGACCTAACGTTAGTATTTGTGACCCAAAGGGTATTATTAAGTTTTCCCATACCAAAGTATCAAATGACTTCCAAGCATAGGAGAGTAGAATTCACTGTTAACTATTAGAAAAATAAATAACTCCTAGGTACCTGAAATATAGACTATATAGTACTTACTATATTTCAGATACCTAGGGGTATTTACTTATTACTTTGTGAATATTGAATTTGATTTGTGAGACTATAAAGACTCCATATACCAAGAAAAGATGTTTTGTGTTACCAATCATTGCTGCTCTTCATTCAATTCTTACCATGTGCCAGCACCAGGCAGGCTCTGTACAAAGTACTAGCTCATTTAATTTTTACAATAACTCAAAAGTAGGTGTTACTGTTTTAACAGACTAGACACTGTTATATTAATATTACCATATTTCTTTAATTCAAAGATACATTTTCAATCAATATGTACCAATAGTATCAACTGATACATTTGTGCCCCCACCCCCAACAACAACAACAAAAAACAAAACAAAACAAAAAAACTGTCATTAAATTGCTAATGTTTTTAGTCAGTGGATCCATAGACTGACTAGAAGGAATCTATTTTGAGCTATGTACACATTGTGAAATGATTAAATCAAGCTAATTCATATAACCATCATCTCACATATTCATCGCTATTTTGTGGTGAGAATATCCAAGATCTACTCTCTTAGCAATTTTCAAGTACACAATACATCATAATTAATTACAGTCATCATGCTGTACAGTAGATCTACAGAATTTATTTTTGCTGTCTAATTGAAACTCGTGCCCTTCGACCAACATTTCCCCAACCCCCATTCCCACTCCCTGGTAACATCCACCATTCTACCTCCTATTTCTATAAGCTTGGCTTTTTTAGATTCCACCTATAGTGGAGATCATACAATACTTGCCTTTCTGTGTCTGGCTTATTTCACTTAGCATAATGTCCTTTAGGTCTCTCCAGGGTGTAGCAAAGGACAGGATTTTCTTCTTTTTGAAGGCTGACTAGTGTTCCATTGTGTCTATATACCACATTTTCTTTGTCTATTCATCTATGGATGTACACAGGTTGATTCCATATCTTGGCTATTGTGAACAGTGATGTAATGAACATGGGAATGCAGATATCTCTCCAATATGAAGACGTCATTTCTTTTGGATATAAGACCCAGGAGTGGGATTGCTGGATTATAGGATAGCTCTATTTTAATTTTTTTGAGGAACCTCCATAGTGTTTCCACAAAAGCTGTAACAATTTACATTCCCACCAACAGTGTGCAACCACAGCTTCTCCAACTCCTGTTATCTTTTGTCTTTTTAATAATAGCATTCTAACAGAGGTAAAGTGACATTGTGGTTCATCTATCTTTGAAAGAGCTGATGAGTTCATTAACTTCAACTGCTTGTACCAAAAGCTCAGAGGTATGTACAAATGTAAATGAACAAAAAAGTTACCTCTTTTTCTTCTGCAGCAGAAACGGCAGCAGCATTTGCAGCCACAACAGCGGCAGCAGCCGCAGCGTATTGTAAGAGCACACGTCAGCGTCAGAAGCATGGTGCCTGCTAATCCAAGTCCAACTTTGCCCCAAGTAGGCAATGAAAAACCTAAGCCTGGTAAACTTGATAATATACCTGGAATATTAATACCGCCTCCAGTGCCTAAAGGAGAAAAAAATATATTTTAGTGATACTTGCACTGCCTAGAATCACAGATTCTGCCCCATTACAAGTTGCATTATGTGTTCTAGTAATATTATAACCATTCAGCGTGCTATGGCTAGGCGTCATAGGTCAAGCTTCTTTCAATGTGTTTAATTATTCAATACTCTACAGTACCTTGCATCACAATATTTATTTCTGCCAGTAAACAACTTCTTAGTAACCCAGTCCAGGTGTTGGTTGTTTAATGTCTCTAATATCCCTGAAAGGTAGATAAGGCATGGCTCGGCTGACAATCCCCTGAGGCTGGCATAGTGATGGTCACGTTTGACATCCTTTATTTAATCAAGGAAACTTTTTGAGCACTAAAATGGACAAGACTGGAATAAAGACATTTTGTTCTCCCTTCCAAGTCCCCACTCGTTGAGAATCCAGAGCCCAGAGGAAACAAGGGTATTTTGAGGGAGGGTCACTTCTAAAGGAACTTAGGTTCATGGCTTTCACCCTTGCCCCATCCAACTCCCCGACTCCTCAAATTCATTCCTCACACAGTAATTGCTTTTTCCATAGCTTTTCAGGAGGCACCTTCCTTAGTGTGTATGTTTCCCTCTTATTTTACCTAGTAATCATGGAGGCAGGAGGAAAAAAGGGTAAAGTGAGGCAGAGCAATCAGGAAGCAAGATGGATGTAGGGAGAGAAGGACAGAGGAAAAAGCCATTTTGATTCTTTTCCACTATGTCTTAGGCAGAGCTGTTGTGGCTTCACACGATTATCCAAATTCAAATTTAAGTTAATTAAAAGTGTGAGTCTTTAAATAGTCAGTGCCTCAGTTGCACTAGCCACATTTCAAGTGCTCAGTCACTACAGATGTAGAACATTTTTATCATCACAGTAAGAGACAGTATGGGAATTACACTGATGTTGCAAGAAAATTTTCATCTAGCCCTTCGCTTCTCCCTAGCACACCACGCTGACGTCAAACCACACACATTTAAGTTGATCCGTTTAATTGTGAATTGCTATTCAATGAAAGGCTGTCACTCAACCCTGTGTGCTTGGGTGGCATCTTAATGTAAATGCATGCTATTTAGGTTCTAGAGAACCCTAATATAGGATGAATGGATGGATGGATGAATGGATGGGTGGGTGGGTGGGTGGATGGATGGATGCATGGGTGGGTAGGTGGGTGGGTGGATGCATGGATGAAGGGAAAGATTAAGAGACAGTTCTCAACCCTGCATGCTTGGGTGGTATATTAATGTAAATGCATACTATTTCATTAGATACTAGTCATTAGAAAATATTGAAACAGGAACATGGGGTTTGCCTTGAAATCAATGGCCATCCACCACTTTGGAACCAGAGACTAGAGTTCAAAAACAGCTCTTAGATGTTCCTCCTTATAATTTTCCTGGAAAATTGACTGTGCAATAGTAGTTGGCTATTCCTGTGTCAAAGTTAAATGACTCTACATGGAGAAGAGAAGTCTATGCACCAGGCAGTCAGCTGCAGCTGAACCAGGTCTAGGGATCACCTTTCTCCCCATAGTGAGATGCCCAGAGCAGAACTGTAGGATTGTAAGGAAGTCAAACTAGTTTCCTAATGCTGTCTATCTCCACCTCTCCCACCATCCAAGATGAGCTGGAATAGACAGAGACTTGTAAAGGGTTCTCCCAAAAATGGTGAAGACGGAAGGAACAGAATACACCCTTCCCATTCCACACCTTCCCAGAGTTGAAGCACTGACACAAGGCAGACCCTTCGCCTGCAGAGGAGCACATTTATCCCCTTGCTCCACAGACAGCAGAATCCCAAGCATCACCTGGAATATCACTGCACATGCAGATTCAAAGCCCACCTCAGGGGACACAGAGTCAGGATATCCTGAATGATACCCCCATGATTCTGAGGCAGACAGTCGGTGACCCACATTTTGGGGATCCCTTGTATGCAGCCAGAATGTAAACACTGCCCAAGCTACCCACGACATGACAGGATGCTCTCACACTCCCCCTCCCACAGATGTGATAATAAAATGATGAAGTCCAGAGTTGCATCAATGATCTTCACAGTCTTGAGTTGGAGGTTGGACCACCATGTGGGAGGTTTGTGACTGAGAAAGAACTTTAGATTTCCTGTGGATGGAACCAGTCAAATCTCATGACCAGCATTTCTTGCTGCATTACCTTTGGCCTCTGGCTCACTTGCCAATAATGACTCTTTTCCCACCAGGCTGTTCAGGGGTGTGTGTGAAAGTTCTGAGAATGCTGTAAGTTACAGCGCACAGGCTCCAGTTGGCAGTGGTCATCCTAGTTTCAATTTAACGAACTCTTACGAACTGAAGTTTGCAAATATAACAAGTTTTCTTAATAAGGGAGCTGGCTGGGGTTAACCAATGAGGTCTGGCTCAAGATTTAAGAGACAGGCTTGAAATTCTCACTGACACAAGACAGTATGCTTGTGGACTTACTCACACACTCCCTATCGGTAGACTTTTCTTCCCCTACTAGACAGAAACATGAGTGTGACAAACTTCCTGAATCTGGACGTGACATTTCCTCTAATCTAGCATGGAGACGGCCTGCCTTAATCTAGCACGGAGACGGCCTGCCTTGATCTAGCACGGAGACGGCCTGCCTTGATCTAGCACGGAGCCGGCCTGCCTTGATCTAGCACGGAGATGGCCTGCCTTGATCTAGCACGGAGGCGGCCCGCCTTAATCTAGCACAGAGAGCCTGCCTTATTTTCAGGGAGTGCATGTTGAACAGAAGGGAAGGGACATTTTGCTGGGGGTGGTGACTGAGTCAAGGGAGAGACTGAGGGCCAGAGGGACTTTAAACACTCTTTTGCCCCTTAATTTAACCACAAAGTTCAGAAAGTGATACCTGCATTCAGTTAAAAGCCCCAAACGCTGACCAAAATGGAGCTAGTATTAGGAACCATATCACTTACTCTTTCGCTTCCTATTTGTTGTGACCACACTCTAGTGGAAGGCAAATGTTCCAAGGAGTTTTATGCCTAGGTGAGACTTAAACTGAAGTCTCCCTTTAATCCAGTGGAGCCCAAAGTGTAGCGTATAAGTCAGCAAGAGGCATGATTTAGTGCTGGGGCTACACAGAGAGCCCTTTCTTATTTTCATAACCATTTCAAGTTTATCATATAACACATATATTATATGTATATACATAAGTATACCCACATGCATGGATATTTTTGTTTAGTATGGGGCTAATTTTTTTTAAAAAAGAGTGCATTTACTGTAGATTGAAAAATAGATGGTAGCCATATATTACTGACAAATCAAAAATCTGACAGTGGACAGAAAACAGACTCTTGGAATGATGTCATCCATAATCCAATTTTGATGCAGACAAGATGCTCAGGACAGAGGAACTAAGTAAATGGCACAGGGAGCCCAGAACAGGAAGCCACAGGGCTCCTGGCTCATATCTTTCCATCCTGCCATGTGTTGTCTCCAATGTAGAATAATCCTTCTGAGGAAAATATGGCCCAGAGGTGACATAAACATATTTGCATAAAGTCTACAGCGAGGTGCTGGTCTGTGCCTTGTAACCTCTGGAGGGTGTGGGTGTGCCTGGCTCAGGTGAATGGCGGGTGTGCTGGAGAGGATGAGCATACTAGAGCTGAATAGTGACTAACGAAGATGAGCTCCAAGGTCAACGCCGCTTGCCTTTCCCCCTACGCTCCTTCACACCACTGTGTGCTTGTTAGGGCCTCATTACTGACTTTACCATGTGCTTTAACCTCTGCTTGGAGATTGTCCTTTTCCCATCTGTGAAGACAAGGAAAATAGCATTTCCCAGATGCTCTCAAAGGAATGCATAGAGGTTTTAAAAGGTATAGAATTTCTTGAAACCAAATGTATTAATATAAAATGTCACCACCACCATGTGCCAAGTACATATGAATACCAAATGTCACCACCATCATGTGCAAAGCACATCCCTGTGCCCACTACAGGCGACACAAGAGATCTCTGAATCAATAGTGTGAATGATAACAATTACTCCCTTTCCAGTCCTGTGTGCTCTGGGGCAAGGACTGTTCTAAAACTGAGGCTCAGACAGGGTAAGTAACTTGTCCAGAAGACACACAGCTAGTGATTGGGTGAGCCGGGACTGGAACCCAGGTTGTCTAATGTCCAAGTCTGTGTAGACATAGCACTTGATCGGGCTGGATGGGAAGGTTGGACTTTAGAGATTTTTTTCAGTTCATTAGCCCCCAATCCTGGCTGCCCATGAGAGTAACTTGGGAATGTTTTTTACCATTGTAATTCCCAGGCTCCACAAAAACGCATGAAACAAAACCCCCAGGAGGCAGCTGAGCCTCAGTGTATTTATGAAGAAGGCTCCTCTGCTGGCCCTGACCCACAGCCGGGAGAGAGGACTTCTCTATTCTTCTCCTACCCACTTTACAGGTGAGAAAACTGAGCCCTGAAGATTGCTGACTTGCCCAAATTTGCACCATCAGTGCCAGGGCAAAGGCCCAGGACTGTCACTTCTACTATTCTCTGCGCCCAAAATTGCCATTTCTCAACATGGTAAGGTTATCACCAGGAATCACTACATTCTACAAGGTGCTTGTGTGTCCTAAAAACACTACTTCATTTTAAGCATTTCACAACCTACACACAAATAACTGCACAAAGAAAAGCACCCCGACGGGCAGATGGCTCTGACAGTGCTTCTCCCAAGTCAGGGTGAGAGGGCCTCACTCTCTAGTTTTGGATACATCTGCAGTGCTCAAGGTTTGTATCACTTCTGTAATTAAGAAAATCAATTTCTAAAAAACAGATCTGAAATGAGGGTTAGTCTTCCCAGAATGCTTTTCTCTAAAGAAACCTTTTGAACTATAAACCAGGAAGTACTTCATACAACCCTGTGACTTGTCCTGATTGGATAGGCTTCCAAAGTTGACATCATTCTTCTTTCAATGACTTGCAGGGATCATTTCAGAAATGAAAACAAATGCTTTGCACTTTTAGGAAATGGGGGGAAAATGGATGTTGATGTGATTCCTGAAGAAGACTGAATGGGCATAGACCCATTAACGCTTGGCTCTCTAGAAACCTGGCTGTTCTCCTTACAGCCTCGTCTGGTCACCAGCTCTGCCAGCCAAGACTGCAATGAGGTCTTCAGCTAATAAAACTTACATAAAACACATAACATGCAGCCAGCCATCAGCTGCACTGGATCTTGATGAATAATTTAGAAACAAATTACCCTTTTCCAAATGAGTTCAATAAAGCTAGACTCATTGCAAGCACCCTCTGAGCCTCCCGCTCCCAGCAGCCATGCCTCCAGCTGCCATCATTAAGGCACTAGTCCTGGTCTAAGAAGAATTCAGCAAATTAAACCTGATGAAGGGAAATTAAGTGCTCCCTTTCCCTTCCACTGCAAAAGAAAACATTTGCAGGCAAGCCAGTCTCTAAAATCTATCTCTCTAAGGTACCATCAATCAGGCCAGAGCTCCTGCTGTATCATTACCCTGTTAGGATATATGCTTTAACCAGTCCATTTTATTCCATTTGGTGCTAATGGAATTTTAAAAAATCTTCTCTTTCAAAGCCTGGACCATCCTTTACCATATTTAAGTAGACTAACGTATGATATTTAAGGTTGGCTCCCTGGGAAAATGACTGATTCCAGGTGGAGACAGGGGAGTACAAAGTGAGTCTGGAAAACCTAATGGGTCCAGGTGCTCGAAAACTAATAGGGGGATGTCAGAAGGACGCCAGCACCAGCTTGAAGGGACACCAACTGGCCATGTCTGGAGCAATCTGAGTGTCAAAATGAAAAATGACAGGAATAGATTAGAATGTATTGAACAAAATTGAGTCCCTACTAAAACTGTGAGGGGAAAAAAGGAAGAAAAAAGAAAAGGAAGAAAGGGGAGGGAAGTCTCTTGTTTAACAAAAGAAAGCCAATTAATAGATATGGAAAGAATAATGGAAGTAGGAAATCACTCTTTACAACCACCATAGAAGTAATTGATTCAGGCAATGATTCATCAATGAATGTAAAAGTTAGTAGGTGGAAAAAGAACAAAGTCGTCTCCTTTGCAAGGACATGGATGGAGCTGGAGGTCATTATCCTTAGCAAACGAACACAGGAACAGAAAACCAAATACCGCCTGTTCTCACTTCTAAGTGCGAGCTAAATGATGAGAACACATGGACACATACATAGAGGGGAACAACACATACGGGGGTCTATCTGAGGGTGGAGGGTGGAAGGAGGGAGAGGAGCAGAAAAAATAACTAATGGGTAGGCTTAGTACCTAGGTCATAAAATAATTTGTACAACAGTCCCCTGTGACATGAGTTTACCTGTATAACAAACCGGCGTGTGTAACCCTGAACCTAAAATAAAAGTTTTTAAAAATTTTTTGTATTAGGTGGGTAAACAGGATATTCCCACAATATCTATTGCTTACATATTAATTATAAAGGCAAAAAGGTACTTTTATGTTGGATCAATTCAGGGTATGCCACCTTCACCAAAGGGTCCAGCTTACACCGATGAAAACTGTGATCCTGTGATCACATGATATTACCTATATCTTGCCAAAAATCTGTAGCCTAAATCAAAGTATGCTGAAACATTTTAGACAAATCCAAATTGACCCAAATTGAGAGGCATCTTGCAAAAACAACCTGTACCGTTCGAAAATGTTTATCTCAGCAAAGACCCAAAACACTGGGAGAACACCAAGTGAAGATGAAGGCAGAGAGGAGGGTGACATTTCTACAAGCCAAGGAAGGTGGAAGATGGTCAGCAACCACAGGGAACAAGGGGAGAGGTAAGGGACAGAGGCTCCCTCCCAGCCCTCAGGAGGAACCAGCCCTGCTGACACTTCCAGCCTCCAGGACTGTGAGAAAATCCATTTCTGCTGTTTAAGCCACCAAGCCTGTGGTCCTCTGTTACGGCAGCCATGGGACCTCATGTACCCTCCAAGTGGCTCTCACACAGCAGGCGGAGTTGCCAGGTGAGCAGTTTCTGGAGACAGACTGCCTGTCATTTAGTCACTCTACAGGTGAGTAGAGGTTGCCCTGTCATTTACTCACTCTACAGACGTGGGCGAAATCCCAACAGCACTGTCCCTGTCACCTTGCCTTGACAGTAGGAATAACAGCGACACTCACACGGCTGTCGGGCAGGTTAATTCTGTGAAGACTTGAGAAGTGCTCAGAACAGTGCCTGATAAGTCGGTAAGTGCTATAGAGTGCTGTTTATTATCGTTACCATTATTATTTGGCTGTGGCTGTGGCTTTGTTCTGAACTTCGGAAGATCTCAGGTAAGGGTGTTGTCATGGTGGGAAAAGCTTTAGTCGAGAAGAAAAGCTCTTCTCAGCTTCTAGACCCAGCTCTGCCACGTTGGCTGTGTGACCCAGATGGAAGCATAGAATTTCTCTAGGCCTCACTTCCTCTTTTGTAATATGTTAAGTTAAAGTCAGTCTCCAACATTCCGGGCCCACTCTGTCCAGGCTGACTCAAAGGACACAGGCTCTATGGGCCCCTTCAAGGAATGTGGTTAGAGTGTCTGGTACGCCAAAAAACCCACAGGAGATTCTTTGGAGGGATCTAAACTTTAAAGTTATGTCATTTAGTCAAGTTAAACTATATACATATAGACTTGACACTTTCAAATACATTGTGGATTTGCTGGGGGAAAAAAATGAAGCATTATACTTCCACTAAGATTGGAAGAAATTCAGGGAGACCTGAGGCCCTCCTGCAAGATGAGGACCTGCTTCGTACTGGCTCAGTGGGTGGAATCCAACTGAAACAGTGGTGGGTAAAAGCTACAGAAAAAAATGTTTAACTCAAGCATTTCTCTCCAAACTTGATGCTCTTTGATGATAAATAATTGGCAAGATTCTAAATGGCTTTCAAATGTAATAAGAGAAAAAACTTTAAGATGGAATTTTAAAAGCAGATGAGGGTATAAGATTATTAAGCTGTATGATTTATAATCCTTTGGGTATATACCCAGTAATGGGATGGCTGGGTCAAATGGTATTTCTAGTTCTAGATCCTTGAGGAATCACCACCCTGTCTTCCACAATGGTTGAACTAGTTTACAGTCCCACCTGCTATAAAGACACATGCACACGTATGCTTATTGTGGCACTGTTCACAATAGCAAAGACTTGGAACCAACCCAAATGTCCATCAGTGATAGACCAGATTAAGAAAATGTGGCACATATACACCATGGAATACTGCACAGCCAAAAAAAAGGATGAGTTCATGTCCTTTGTAGGGACATGGATGAAGCTGGAAACCATCATTCTCAGCAAACAAACTGATCACAAGGACAAAAAACCAAACACCACATGTTCTCACTCATAGGTGGGAATTGAACAACGAGAACACTTGGACACAGGAAGGGCAACATCACACACTGGGGCCTGTCGTGGGGTGCGGGGATGGGGGAGGGATAGCACTGGGAGATATACCTAACGTAAATGACGAGTTAATGGGTGCAGCACACCAACATGGCACATGTATACATATGTAACAAACCTGCACGTTGTGCACATGTACCCTAGAACTTAAAGCATAATAATTAAAAAAAAAAAAAAAAGATTATTGAGCTGACAGCAGATGTGATTGGCCTTATCATCCCTACCCGAAATCAAGGTTGTCATATGGTTTTTCCAGGCATCGTGGATGAAGGAGTATTCTACATAATAGTGAAGCATGAAATAATCATTCGTTTCATGTAAAGCAGAAAGTCATCACTTACCTTGGGGACGCCGAATCACAGTGAGATTTACAGTTGCAGACTTGCGGGCCTTCGGGCTCTTCCAGGTAGCCACACATGTCAAAGTCCCATTGCTCTGTGGGGTCAGAGCCAGGATGCTCACTGCACTTTGAAGGTCGCTGGGCTCCGGAACAAAATAATAGCTTGAATGGCTGACCAGGAGACCGAGTTCCCAGGAAATATTCGGGAGCCGGGTCCAGTGCGAGGCTCGACAAGTAACTTTGCAAGGCTCATTCTCAGCGACTACAAGATTAACATTGGGAATGAACAACTCTCCCATAACTAAAGAAGAAAAGAGAGAAACACACTGAAGACATGACTGTGACTCTCACTTCTAAGTTTTCTTTTTCTCTCTCTTTTTTTTTTTTAATTTTGCTTCAAATTACGTTTTGTGAGACCTATTTTCCCAAGCCCAAAGGGGCTGTGTCTCTACTGGGAAATCTTAACTCAGATTTTATCTGGGTCTTTTTTGCATACCTGCCAGGGTCTCTGAAGAAGGTGAGGTTGCTCACAAGAAAGCACAAAGTTACACAGAAAATGCTTCATAAAAGTCAGAAACCAGGGGAAATAATTATATGGGAAAGGAAAGGGAGAGTGCGTGCCATAGGGGGCTATGCAGTACCTGAAGTGAGCTACAGAATTACCTTGGGCTGTCCAGGGAGCAAAGCGAAAAAGAGAAACGAGCTTCACCTTCTTCTCACTGTGACGAGGACACAGCCCAGAGTGGGACGCAAGTCTCCCCTGGAGTTTTGGTCAATCAGATACATTTTTATTTATTTCTAGGGGCATGTGGTCTTAAACATAACTTCTTAGGATATTGCCTTAACACAGGTTTCTCATTACAAATTAAATCAAAATCCAATCTAATATTTACAGAAATAACTAACCCAAATCATGTGTCAGAATAACTTAGATAAGTTATTTTTTATTAAGAACAGTCTTGCATAGGTCAGCATTCATACTGAAAACAACCCAAATGAAAATAATACTTGTTTTCACAAGTGTGACTAAAACAACCTGAGGATTGGCCCCAGTAAAGACAGCGTTAGTGAAATAAATATATATATATATACACATACATATAAATGTCCAAGCAAAAACATGCTGAAACTCTGGACTACACAACATAAGGGAAAGAATACTAAACTAAGAATCAAAAAATTTCTTCCCAATCTTGGTTCTGCCAGAAAATTGTCATCACTTTGGGCAAGTCACTGAATTTTTTTGGTTCTCTTTGTTGTACTTACTGAATGAGATAGTTTGACCAGATCAACACTTCTCAAACATTTTGGTTTCAGTACCTTTTACACTCTTCAAAATCACTGAGGACTCCAAAGACCTTTCATTTATGTGAGTTTTATCTACCAACATTTATCATATTTTACATTAAAGTTAAACAATTATTTTAAAGTATATATTTAGAAATAATAATTTATTACATGTTAATTTTGATTAACATATTTTTATGGAAACGAATCACACTTTTAAACTAAAATAATAAGAGGAGTGACATTGTTTTATACTTATATAAATCTCTGTAATGTCTGGCTGGATTCTCATAGCTGTCTCTTCATTCAGTCTGTTGCAATATACAGCCTTGTTTGAAGGATATAAAGAAAACCTAACTTCACACAGATATGTAGTTGGAACAGTGAGGAGTATTTAATAGCTTTGCAGATAATTGTGGATATTCTTGAATACCAAAACTTACTTTTTTTTTTTTTTTTTTGCCAGAGACTCTCGTTCTTTCGCCCAGGCTGGAGTACAATGATGCCATCTTGGCTCATTGCAACCTCCACCTCCCAGGTTCAAGCGATTCTCCTGCCTCAGCCTCCCAAGCAGCTGGGATTACAGGCATGCACCACCATGCCCAGCTAATTTTGTATTTTTAGTAGAGACGGGGTTTCTCCATATTGGTCAAGCTGGTCTCGAACTCCCGACCTCAGGTGATCCACCCTCCTCGGCCTCCCAAAGTGCTGGGATTACAGGCGTGAGCCACTGCACGCAGCACTTTTTTCTTTAAGAGATGGAATTTCACCATGTTGCCCAGGCTGATCTCAGTCTCCTGGGCTCAAGTGATCTGCACGCCTGGGCCTCCCAAAATGCTGGGATTACAGACATGAGCCACCGTTCCTGGCTGAGGTTTCTTAAATGTTTTTACACAGTGGAATCTGAAATTCTATCAAGGAACTTTCATTTTCTGTTATGTTAAAACCCATTGCATTATCTGGCACTTTGAATGGACCTTTTATTCTTGCATGAATTTATTACACTTCAGTCATCTGGAAAATGCTGTTCTGCTGAGTCATGCAGACCTTCCCAAAGTACAGTGGAAAGCTCTCCTGTGCACTTGTGAGGAGGCTGAAAAAGGCAACAATAATAGGAATCTTCATATTATTATGAAAACAATCATGACTTCACAGACCACCCTGAAAGGATCTCAGGGTACATCGAGGAGTCCCTAGACTACAGTGAACTGGGTCAGCTCTGAAAGATCTTTTTGCTCTGAAATGTTAGCTTCCCAATTATTCCTTCCTGAATATTCCTTTGGAATAAGAAAGGCAGTTTTGCTAATTCAAGGGCTACTGTAAATGCAACAAGGAGAAGAGAAAGCGTTTGTCCCTTAAGTCTAAAGGATTTTGTGTTTGCTTTGTGTGACAGAGATGGTTTAAGATGACAGAACTGGGAGGAATGATATTGTCTCAGTTAATAACAGAAACTTTTGAACTCAAGTCCTTGCAGCCCTCAAAATATAAGAGGTCTAGAATTTGGTGTTTGATTGACTGGTGGATAAGGCAGCAAGTGGACCAACTCAGCAATCTGAAGGATTTCCTTTTTCTGTGTACAATTGGGATTCCACCTTCCCCCACCGGCTTTCACAAAGGTTATCCAGTAGCATGACGAACACTTTATACAAAAGTCATACTAGAATATTCCCATGGATTTCAGATGACTCAATTTGGAGTTAAATCATCTCTATTTTGTTGACATATAAGGAGGGGGAAAAAATCATAGAATAATTCATGGTTGTTTCCTCTTTTTTCAAGATTCTTTCTCCCTTGAGGGAGACCCTGTTGCTCAGAGAACATTCGCTCCTCTAGGAACTAAGTACCATTCAGAGCAATGACACGAGGATAAAGGGATGCAGTTCTGTCCAAGCTCTATAGGTTCCTCTCGCAATATCTTGGAGAAGTCTTTGCCTCCTCTAGATGCTTGCTCTTCCATCTGTATTAAAACCAAAAACTACCATAACTACCAATATATAAAAAGTCATGTTGGGGGATTCAGACAAATTTGTAGACTTGTGACTTTGGGAAAACATGCTGCAAAAACCACATGGTTTCTGAATGTGATGTGTCATAAGTATAGCAGTAATAAGCCATGCCTGTGATCCTGTTTCCCTGCTCCAGAGATGCCCTCCTTCTCTCTTGGTTTCCCATTCTGTCTACCATCTACAGACCTGGAAAGTACATCTTCAATGGCACCTTCTCCATGAAATCATCCATGAAGGCTTTATTGACTCTGTCAAGCTCCCCTCTTGATTGGAACCCGAGTTTGCCTCCCTTCCATCTCACTTGCCAGCATCTGGGTGACTGGCATCCCTATGATTTGTGCAACTTGCATTATCCACTCTTCTTGTGAGGTTTTAAAAGAAAGAAATTGTGTCTTATTCCATTCCTCTTTGAGTCACTCTTAAATACCCAATACAATAGCATCCCAATACAATTGGGAACACAATAAATAATAGCAAATGGCCATACAGTGATTGCTATGAGCCAGGTGTGGTAAAGGCTTTACATAGACCTGCTCCTCTGACACCACGGCAGCCCTATGATGAGGACACTAGGACTCAAAGTCATTAAGTAATTGTGCCCCAGGTCACAAATTGTCATAAAGCGGTAACATGGACCCAGGCAGCCAAGCCCGAAGTCTGCACTCCTGACCACTAGAACACTCTGGCTCCCATCTTAACGTGCAGGGAATTAAATCAGACAGGACTTTGGAGTCATCAAACCATCTTTAGTCATTTTTTCACCCGATCCACACAGCAAACCCTTGAGGTGGGCTGGGAAGATTCATCTCCAGGTTAAAAATGAAGAAATTGAGCCATCTCAGGGGTCTGTCTGATAGATAACTGATGAAGCCAAAACCAGAATTTATATCTTTGATTCTTTTTTCCTCTGTTCTTTCTCTTATATCACAAATTATCATAATAAGAATCTGGTCGTGCAAAATAGGCCAACAGTCCTAAATAGCCTTATAAAATCACTTATTTAGAAAATACAATTGTGCCCCTAATTAAACTACACAAAATTAAAAACACACAAAAGTAAAGACACACCAATCTTAGCTAAATTTCTAAAGTAAGAAAACATTTTTTAAAGCACAAATAGAAATAGGTAAACATGTCTCCACCAAAGGTTATGAAATCTGATTTAATAGCAACATAAATATGAACAAAATCTTTGGGAATTTCTTCCAGACAAGTAAATACATAGAGATAAGAAATAATTTATAAGATATAATATATTCTCTTATAAGAAATGCTGCCATAGAAATCAGGAACTGTATATCTTTAAATAGAGTATAAATACACTTGTAAAGAATGCAAAGTTATTAAATTTTGGTAAGACTATTCCAAATCTTTGTAAAGCATTCTTTTACTTTTTTACTGTGAAACATTATCTTCAGCACCTCCAAATTACCTCTAAAATGAAAAATAAGCTATCTATTATTATAAATTTTGTTTATTCTTTCCTTTTCTCTCAACGACTTGATATACTTGGTGAACACACAACTTTGACTGTAATGACTATCCCACTGTAATTGAAGGCAGGGTACAGAAATAAGTTGGGGGGATTCTGCTTGGAAGAGGAAAACGTTAAAGCATACTTCAGAGTTGATAAATGATGTAAGCAGAGAAATATGGTCATGTACATGGAAAAAGTAGAGAAAGGGCAGTGATTGCCAACTGTCTCTAAATCAAAGAAAAATGACTGCGACTAGCCCCAGAAGAATTACAGGATATATTTCCAGAAAGGCTATTAAATACTGAAATGGATTCAAAGGGGAAGTGATAAAATCTGTCTCTATTAGTCTTAACCAGAAAAAAAAGAAGGAAAGCAAAGATGGAAGGAGAGAGGGAATGAAGCAGGAAAAAGGGAAAGAAGGGAGGAAGTGAGGAAGAAGTGGGATAAATCAACAAAACAATAAACGTTAGTCCATCCAGAATAATTCTAAGCCTATTGCCAACTGAAGGCTAGAGCACATAGGAGGGAAGGAAGAGAGGGGGAGAAGGGAAGAGGAAGGGAGGAGGCAGGGAGAGCATGAGGGAGGAAGGAGGCGACAAACCAGAAAGCATTCATCCGTTCAGAATGATTGTACGTCAACACCAACTGAAGGTAGACCACATCTGCCATCATACGCAGCATGAACTTTAGAAGGTTCTTCCTGCCCTCTGACATTTAACCCGATGGACTTCAGATGTGGCATTCAGAAGCCACCTGCATACACACCTTGGACCGTAAGGGAAGCAGATCCATGCAGGCGACTGTTCTGGAGGCTGCATCTGATGTTCCCCGAATCACTGGGCTGCACATTGTGGATGATCATCTCCGAGGTGAAGTTCCCACCCTGGTCGTACCTCTGAGAGGTGAAGCGGTCATTGGTGATGATGGGCTCCATGGGCCTGATGCTCAGCACCACCATGTCATTGAGAGCCCACATGATGAGCTTCCAGCCCTGCGAGACAGTGCAGTTGAAGCGAGCCTGGGAGCCCTTCAGGACTGTTGCATTTTGGGGGCCTTCTATGACTTCACTACCGGATCCAGAACCTGGAAGGCAGCCAATTTTTCAAGTTGGTAAATGAATGGATCTCCATAAATCAACTGTGTGCTGTAACCTTTCTGTATTTATCAGTGGTAACCCCCAGGGTTACCATCCAGTGGCTCAGACTCTGTGTCTTTTGGATCCTAACACCAGCTCTCCCCGGCAGATCAGGAGCTTCCGGTGGAAGCCACGGCCATGCCCTCCTTTCCACTCTACCCCCTAACTCTACAGCTGTATTGGGTTGAGTAGTATTCCTCAAAACACATGTCCACTGGATCCTCAGAATGGAACCTTTGAAAATAGGGTCTTTGCAGATGTAATTAGGTAAGGATCTCAAGATGAAATCGACCTGGGTTTAGAATGGGCCCTAAATCCAATCACAGGTGTCCCTGCAAGAGAAATGCAGAGTGAGATTTGAGACACAGAGGCCTGCGGAGAAGAACACCATGTGAGGATGGATGCAGAGACCGGAGTGATGCATCTACAAGCCAAGGAATGCCAAGGATTGGAGCAACATCAGAAGCTAAGGAAGAGGCACGGAAGACCTTCCCTCAGAGCCTCCATAAAAAACCAACTCTGCCAACTGGCAACATCCCAGGATTGGCATTCACAGCAGTGGGGCTGGGACCCAAACTCAGACCTTCCCGCTCTGAATTTCATCCTCTTTTCCCTTCTGATGTCATTCAGAGTTTATAGCAAGAAGACGCCCTGGCCACCACAGACCGTGGCTTCTCCTCATTCGTGCCCACCCTATCAATGAGACGGCAACACGTCCTACTACCTTCTGGTGTTGTGGGATCCCTGTGGGTGAACCAGGTAGCCGGCCATCATATACACTGGGTAGCACCCAAAACTGCAGCTCCTCCCTTTCCTTCTGTCTTGTAAAGTCAAATTGCAAGGTAGGCCAGGCGCAGAGGCTCACACCTGTAATCCCAGCACTTTGGGAGGCCGAGGTGGGCAGATCACCTGAGGTCAAGAGTTCAAGACCAGCCTGGCCAACATGGTGAAACCCCGTCTTTACTAAAAATACAAAAATTAGCCAGGTGTGGTTGTGGGTGCCTATAAGCCCAGCTACAGGAGGCTGAGGCAGGAAATCACTTGAACCCGGGAGGCAGAGGTTGTGGTGAGCCAAGATCGTGCCACTGCACTAGAGCCTGGGCAACAGAGCAAGACTCTGTCTAAAAAAATGGCACGGCAGGTTCTAAAAGAATCTCATTATAGCCCTAAAGGTTTCTGGGGAGGAATTACACCATTGGATACACAGTAGCACATTAGCACTTCACTTGTGTACCCAGGCACATCATGGGGGCCGAACTGCCCCTGCAAGAACGACAGGTGAAAGGGAAGGAGTAAGCCACCACCAGGAATAGTCCCCTCCAGAAGCAGGACCAGGAGGCAAGGATGCCATGGTGGAGGAGGGGCCCACTGGCTTGGGAGAGGCAGAACTGAAGAAGGTGAGAGTTCACTAAGGCTAAGCCAGCGTTTGGATAAACATGATTACTACTCTTTGTTTTGTCCCCGGACATCATTACAAAAAAAGAGAGAGAGAGAAAGTATGACTTTAAAACACAACTCAGGTTAGGTATTCTCCCTGACCTCAGGGCAAGTCTCTCTGATCCAAGATCTCTTTGATCTTTGATTTTTGTTTTAAGTGTGAGAAATGGAATTTAAAAACAATTCCCCCAGGGAAGCCGCAATGCCGTTTCCAGAACTCTGAATTGCTTGTTAAGAAGAAGAGAAAATAGCCAAGTCTGCGCCCCAAGGGTCCATGCTGTAATAACCACACTCCTCCTGCACTCCCACCCTGGGTTGATGGCAGTCGAGTGGACAGAGCCCAGCAGGGTGAGTGTGGGGATGATGGATGGGTGAGCCCCAGCCTTACCCAGTGAGAAGCCCGGGCCATGCAGCGCCAACAGAACCAGCATCCCTCTGAAACCACAGTTCCTTCCAATGCCTTGTGAGAAGTGCTGAGATTATTTCACTCCAAGGCCAATCTTTATGTACCCTGGAGGCCACACGTGTCACTACGGAATCATACAATCTGTCCAGCCCACATAACCCTATTCTGCAGCTGGGAGATGAAAAGGAGGAAGGAGGGAGCTGCACCAGATGGAAATTCCTCGACTTTGATGTGACTTTCAGGTGAAACAGGAGGTATCCAACTCTAAACACCAAATTTCCCTGACTGTATTACCTGTGTTTAGCTAGGCATTTAGCTCTAACTGTTTAAGAGCCGCAATGATCAGCATTTTTCTACACTGCAAGGTCAGGCAGTGAAATGAGGAAGGCTAGCCAAACATTTCTTCAGAATAAACACTGGAGGAAGGTTAATGTCCTTGCTAGAACAAACGCTAAGTAAACCACGCTACAGCTCTGCCTCAAGACTCAGGAGCCGTATTTCTGGTCACTTTAGGTCCTGGGAGCTCACCCCTCTCTCAGTTGTGTCTTATCGGCGGTAACCTTCCCCTATACAGAATAGGAGAAAACTGTAAAGAAGACCTTGAATCCAACAATCACCTGCCTCACTTAAAACCTCCCTTTCCTCTTTCCTCTCCCATTTGCTTTATAGAGCAGACAGTCAGATGGGGGCAGAGCACTGGGAAAGATCAATATCTCCTCCTGCCTGGGAACCTCCCTGTGGCCACTAGCTAAGGTTGTCACTAAGGACCGAAGGCTGATCTTTTTCTTCTCTTGCCCAAATTCTTATCTAAGGGACTGGGGAGTCCACCTTACAAACCATAAAGTCTCATCAGAGGGGTTTCATTGAACCCTATATAATGCAGCCTGCTTTCCAACCTGATTCTGGCACAGCGTCACATGACAGGTAAAGAAGTGGTCCAAAACAACTGCTTAGTGACTATGTACTGAGGGAATAAACATGTTGGTTGAGTTCTATATAACCCATTATACAGTAGGCAAGGTGGCAAGGAGAGGTCTGGGAAGAGCATTACGCGTGCACACACAGGTTGATAATGGATATTCAGAGTGATATCTACAAATGAAAATGACTCTACCCATAAGACTTTCCAACATGAAGCATTTGAACGCTTTGGTATTCATTACAAATTTGCATTCATTACAAATTTGGGGATGGACGTTCAGGAGCTCTAGAATTAGCCCATATGTATTCTCCTCTCCTGAAATAGCCACCTTCAGGCCTCAACCCAGATCCTCCATGCCCTCAAAACAGCACATATTCCTCAGCCTTTTTTTTTTTTTTTTTTTTGAGATGGAGTCTCGCTCTGTTGCCCAGGCTGAAGTGCAGTGGTGCGATCTCAGTTCACTACAAGCTCCGCCTCTCGGGTTCAAGTGATTCTCCTGCCTCAGTCTCCCAAGTAGCTGGGACTACAGGTGCGTGCCACTATACCCAGCTAATTTTTTAGATTTTTAGTAGAGACGGGGTTTCACTGTGTTAGTCAGGATGGTCTCGATCTCCTGACCTTGTGATCTGCCCACCTTGGCCTCCCAGAGTGCTGGGATTACAGGCATGAGCCACTGCAACCAGCCTGCCTCAGATTTTTCAGGGAAAAGTGTCTCAGAAACACTAGACCCAGCATTCATCCATTGCCCACCAAACCTTTGGAAGAGTTTTTTGTGCCCATGGCTGAAATAGGCCCATACAATGCCATATGCCTAAGATGTATATTGAGGGTGGTTTGTTAACCCTACAGTCAGTCCCTAAGCTCTATACAAGCAGGGACCTTGTCTTCCTCTCCATTCTACAAACAAATGTTTAACAACCACCTCTGGAACACTTTGCTTTGCTTGCTGCAGGCCTTTAGAATATCTTCATCCCCAAACACATTTTGGCACCACATTCTGGTGCTCTTAGATTTAATGTATAAACAGACCCAAAGCCAAAATGTCACAAAACAGTTCCTAGGCAGGCAACACACTCTGATACTGCCCATTCTGTTCTATTCCATTTTATTCTTTCAAACACTGTCATGGCCAGAATTGTAAAACACATTGTCTAGCCACCTAAAATAGAGTAGATATGTTTGTAAAGTACAACACATGCAAAACGTGTCTACACAGTTAGAAGTCAGAATGACGGGCCGGGCGCGGTGGCTCAAGCCTGTAATCCCAGCACTTTGGGAGGCCGAGACGGGCGGATCACGAGGTCAGGAGATCGAGACCATCCTGGCTAATACGGTGAAACCCCGTCTCTACTAAAAAATACAAAAAACTAGCCGGGCGAGGTGGTGGGCGCCTGTAGTCCCAGCTACTCGGGAGGCTGAGGCAGGATAATGGCGTGAACCCGGGAGGCGGAGCTTGCAGTGAGCTGAGATCCAGCCACAGCACTCCAGCCTGGGAGAGAGAGCGAGACTCTGTCTCAACAACAACAACAAAAAAGAAGTCAGAATGATGATCACTGGGATGGGGTGGAGTGCCTGGAAGGGAGCTGTCCATTGAAGGTTCTTGGCCTCAACGTCGGTCATACAAATATGCTCGCTTTGTGAAAAGTCACCCAGCTATACCTTTATGACATGTGCCCCTTTCTGTACGTCTGTTATTCTTCAAATAAATGCCTTCGAGTCACTGCCATCAGGAATGAAAGAGGAGTTTATAATCTAGTTGGGAACACAAAACTAACACCCCCCCCCCGAAGCAATGGAAACTAAACAAACCTAATGAAAACCAAAGCTGGCTGTGAAAACCCCAGTTCCTCCCAGCACCCCAGACTATACGCTACGCCTCTCGCATAGAAAGTGGTCTGACCAGGAGACCCAGGCCTTGCACGCAGGAGTTCACTCCAGCTGACACCGTTGGAGAGCACTGGAGTGTGTCACACACAACAGAACCCTTCCCCTGTCAGTAAATGGAAACTGGGATTCTCGCCCTGAAAATGGCAAGGGTTAGGAGGCTTCAGGGAGGAGGTGATTTCTGAGTCAGGTTTTCCTTGAAGGCCAGAGAGAAACTGAAGAGGTGAGAAACCAGGGAGGGGAAGGGACATTTCAGCAGGTGCAACCACTTGTGGGAAGGAACCGAAGGCAGACTCCCAGGACAGTGATGGCCCCGATGAGGATTGGGGGAGATGCCATGCACCTGAAGGACCGTTCTAGGAGTCGAGTCGATGCAGGAGGAAATGGGTCACACAGAAGAGGTCGCCATGGGAAGGTCTGCAGTGGGAAGTGGCTGAGAAAGACTCTTCTGGCAGTTGTGTGTTCCAGCAGCCTCCTGTGGCCCTTGTCTTCCCCCAACACTCCAAGCGGACATTGGTGAACAGCCCACAAAGCTCAGGCGACCCCTACCTGCCAGCCCAGCCAGGACGACCAGCACGGTCAGAACAGCTTTCCCGGAGCTCTGCACCTCCATATGTTCTCTCTGGCCCTGGGAAAATAAAGCGAGCAGGTAACCGCCCATCACTGACGAGCATCTATTGTTCAGAAGTCTTCTGTGCCACCCCTCCCCCACCCCCCAGCTGGTGTGTGCCCGTGGACACGTTAGATCGGCACATCACAGTGTAGACAGTGGCAGCCTCTCTTGGGAAGTGTTAGAAAGCACAGGCCGGGTGCGGCGGCTCACACCTGTAATTCCAGCACTTGCTGAGGCAGGTGGATCATCTGAGGTCAGGAGTTCGAGACCAGCCTGGCCAATATGGTGAAACCCCATCTCTACTAAAAATACAAAAATCAGCCAGGTGTGGTGGTGTGTACCTGTAATCCCAGGTACTCAGGAGGCTGAGGCAGGAGAATCACTTGAACCCGGGAGGTGGAGGTTGCAGTGAGCAGAGATCACGTCATTGCACTCCAACCTAGGCAACAGAGCGAGACTCTTAAAGTGTGTCACACACAACAGAACCCTTCCCCTGTCAGTAAATGGAAACTGGGATTCTCGCCCTGAAAATGGCAAGGGTTAGGAGGCTTCAGGGAGGAGGTGATTTCTGAGTCAGGTTTTCCTTGAAGGCCAGAGAGAAACTGAAGAGGTGAGAAACCAGGGAGGGAAAGGGACATTTCAGCAGGTGCAACCACTTGTGGGAAGGAACCGAAGGCAGACTCCCAGGACAGTGATGGCCCCGATGAGGATGGGGGGAGATGCCATGCACCTGAAGGACCGTTCTGGGAGTCGAGTTGATGCAGGAGGAAATGGGTCACACAGAAGAGGTCGCTATGGGAAGGTCTGCAGTGGGAAGTGGCTGAGAAAGACTCTTCTGGCAGTTGTGTGTTCCAGCAGCCTCCTGTGGCCCTTGTCTTCCCCCAACACTCCAAGCGGACATTGGTGAACAGCCCACAAAGCTCAGGCGACCCCTACCTGCCAGCCCAGCCAGGACGACCAGCACGGTCAGAACAGCTTTCCCGGAGCTCTGCACCTCCATATGTTCTCTCTGGCCCTGGGAAAATAAAGCGAGCAGGTAACCGCCCATCACTGACGAGCATCTATTGTTCAGAAGTCTTCTGTGCCACCCCTCCCCCACCCCCCAGCTGGTGTGTGCCCGTGGACACGTTAGATCGGCACATCACAGTGTAGACAGTGGCAGCCTCTCTTGGGAAGTGTTAGAAAGCACAGGCCGGGTGCGGCGGCTCACACCTGTAATTCCAGCACTTGCTGAGGCAGGTGGATCATCTGAGGTCAGGAGTTCGAGACCAGCCTGGCCAATATGGTGAAACCCCATCTCTACTAAAAATACAAAAATCAGCCAGGTGTGGTGGTGTGTACCTGTAATCCCAGGTACTCAGGAGGCTGGGGCAGGAGAATCACTTGAACCCGGGAGGTGGAGGTTGCAGTGAGCAGAGATCACGTCATTGCACTCCAACCTAAGTGACAGAGCGAGACTCTTAAAAAAAAAATGCACATTTCTGGGCCCACCTCAGACCTCCTGAATCAGAAACCCCTGGGGTGGGCCCAGAATTTTGGATTTAAAGAAGCCCTCCAGGTGATTCTGGTGCCTGGTCAAATTTGAGAATAACTGGATGAAATGTTCTTACCCCACCCGCAAGCCCACCTGCATCATGAAGGGATGCAGACGGTGTAGACTCACCTCTGAATGACTGACCAAAATGCAGAGCATGGGCTTATTACATTTGTTTCCGTCACTAATCCCTGAGAAAACAACTCCTGCCTTCATGAGTTCACAGTCTCAAAAGGGAAGACAGGCAACCAAATGAATACATAGACGACATGGCCTATTAGAAGGTGGCAATAGATGTGGGGAAAAACAGGACAAGGAGGGGCACCAGCTACCACTTCAAACAGGGTGGTCAGAGAAAGGCCCCCGCGAAGCTGCACCACGCACAGCAAATGAGGTTAGACAACAGCCACCGCACTGGACACCTACAGGAAGAACTTTCCCAGCAGAGGAAACAGCAGGTGCTAAGGCCCTCAGGGGGACTGTGCCTGCTGTGCTTGACCAAATGCAGAGAAGGCTCTGCGGCAGAGCGAGGGGTGGGTGGACGGAGTGAGGTCAGAGTTCAGGGAGGTCAGGATAGACGGGGTAAGGCCTGGCCAGACCATTGACGGCACATGAGGATTCTGCCATGTATACCTTTTATTCCTTCCTTCCAACCCCCTTTGTTCGTTGACGCCCTCTTGGTCACCCTCCACCCTTGCATTTTTTTCTGTTTGCTTTTTTCTCTCCCCTAGGAGAGGCTTATCCAAGACACTCACCAGTACTGATGTGTCCTCCTGGAAGACTCAGGGTTAGATCACCTGTGTGCTGAACATGTCACGAACCACCTGCAAAACAACACTCCCTCAGCCTCAGGAAAGGGTCTCTTTATTGCAAACATTCCTCCACAGCACCAATGAGTGGAGTCCAGTGACCCAAACGGTTCTCATTTCAGCTTTAGCATCTACACACATTCCACAGCCCTGCGAGACTAGTCCACCCATCCCTCCAGAATATAAGGTGCCAGGTCCCATCAGGGACTTTGAGGAGAGACTTTCTAATGTGCTGACAACACACATCCATGGCTCCAGTCTCCTTTCGTTTCGATAGGCCCTGGAAGGCAGAAAATACAAGAATTGAAACCGTGATGGGAAAACCACTGCCACACCTTGATCTGCGGACAACTCACCCAACTTACTGAATGAAACCCAGAGTGTCAGCGTGAAGGACAGCAAAGATGCTCAGGCCCGTGACCCGCGTTTAGCATTTAAGTGCATTACTGGTATTCACAGCCTCGAGAAAGAATGTGGGGTTTCCACCCCTTCATTTCTCCGAGGTCTTTGGAAAGCAAAATTCAACATGTGCATCAAACTACAACTACTCGTGTCTGTAATTTTTTGTTTGTTTGTGTTTGTTTGTTTGTTTGAGACCAAGTCTCGCTCTGTTGGTCTGGCTGGAGTGCAATGGCACGATCTCGGCTCACTGCAACCTCCACCTCCTAGGTTCAAGCAACTCTCCTGCCTCAGCCTCCCAGGTAGCTGGGAGTACAGGCACCCGCCACCACACTGGGCTAATTTGTTTTTGTATTTTTAGTAGAGACGGAGTTTCACCATGTTGGCAAGGCTGGTCTCGAACTTCTGACCTCAGGTTATCTGCCTGTCTCGGCCTCCCAAAGTGCTGGGATTACAGGCATGAGCCACCACTCCCAGCCTGTAATTTAATATAAGGTTTGAAATACATGTGCTGCAGCAGCATTTCATTGTGGGACCCAGCCCCTTGCAATAATCTACCATAGACTCAGCAAATCCCTACAAATATGCCTCAGTAGCAAGTTGTACAACAGCTGTATACAAACCAAAATGAAATCACAGCCTTCCCAGATTGATCCAAAATCTGGAATTATGAAGTGTCAAATAAATCATTCACTAATTTTTAAGGTTCGATTAACACAACTCCACAAGTAGTCACCTGGAACATCAGGCTCTAGCAGAGGATGAAAGAGAAATTGAGTCATCTAGTTATTAAAAATTACATATTTTACCAAAAGCAGACACAGCAATCCCATTCCTGGGTATCTACCCAAAGGAAAAGAAGTCGTCATATGAAAAAGACTCTTGCACATGCATGTTTATAGCAGCACAATTGCAATTGCAACAATACGAAACCAACCTAAATACCTGTCAACCAATGAGTGGATAAAGAAAATGTGATATATATACACCATGGACTACGACTTAGTCATAAAAAAGGAATGAAATAACGTATTTTGCAGCACCTTGGATGGAGCTGGAGGCCATTATTCTAAGTGAAGTAACTCAGGAATGGAAAACTAAACGTCATATGTTCTCACAAGTGGGAGCTAAGCTATGAGGACACAAAGGCATAAGAATGACACAATAGATTTTGGGGACTCAGGGAGGAAGAGGGTGAGGGATAAAAGACTGTATATTAGGCACAGTGTACACTGCTCAGGTGACAGGTGCACTAAAATCTTAGCAATCACCATTTAAGAACTTATTCACGTAACCAAAAACCACTGGTACCCCAAAAACTATTGAAAATTTTTTTAAGTAAAGAAAAAAAGAAGAAGGAAATAGCTGTAACAAAAACCGTGTAAGGGGCTAAGGGGCTCCCTGGACACCTCCACGGCTCAATAAAAAGGCGCTGGCATTTCTCCTGCACTCGGAAGACTCCAGCTCTGAACCCCTTGCATTCAGGGCCTGCCTTCTTGGAACCTCCAGAGACTTCGGGACAATTCTACTTTCCCTAAGGCATCTCATTAGAGGGTGGAAAGGGCATTTACAAGCTTGTCCAATGAATGGCAGACGTCATGAGTCAGTCATTTCCAAAAGCCCAGACTTTCCCACTGCACAGTATCTCCATGTAACAAAACTGCATTTGTACCCTCGAAGTCTGTAAAAGTTTTTTAAAACTTTCTATTATTTAAATCCCGACTCCCCCAGCCCACCAAATTTTAGTCAAGTCTCAGCTTTCAACCCATCCCAAGAACAGTTCACTGTGAAAGCGACACTCACTGATCAGAAACCATCTGGAATTTCTGAACCCTCAGAGAAGTCCACGCTTGTAGTTTTTAAACCTGTGGAAACTGGAAAGCGAAGATCATGTGTGTAAACGTCCAGCACTTTCCTGGGAAACTCAGATAACGGCCTGTATGGGGCTTGAGGGGCCCTGTGGAGAAACTCACTTGACAAACACCTGTCACAGGGGAGCCACAGACTGGAGTCGTCTTACGCCAGACGACAGGTAAACCCTCTGGAGAGCTTCAGCAAAGGAGCTTCATTTCCTAAAGGCTTCTTCGTGGCTGTGGTCCTCCCTCCACACAAACGTAAGAACACACTCTTGTCTGGCCTCTAGAGTCCTGATGCTGCCTCACCAGAACCAGAAGTTCCTCACGAAATGTCTCTGTCACATCACAGGCTGTGTTATAAACACAGATGTGGCCTCACACTCCAGGGAGGCAGAAGCTCTTCAGAATGCGTATTTCCTCATTAATCATCAGCCAGCCCCACACAGCAGT